GTATTTATGATGTATGCATAATGCTTCACCAAAGGTGTTTATGGGGGAAAGGTAAACTTATAAAAGAGGGAGCATCCCTTTGTTTGGGGTTTCTTCCTGCTTCTCCTATGTGGTGGGTGGAAGTACTGTTGCAACAGTCTTTTGAATAAAGATCAGGCCTACAGGCTGCTGTTTTGCTCCTATATTCCTGGCTGGTATCTTTGTTTGACAATCCAAGAGAGCCCAAGGATTTCCCTATAACATCCCCCAAAATAGAAAGAAAGAAAGAAAGAAAGAAAGAAAGAAAGAAAGAAAGAAAGAAAGAAAGACAGACTCACCCATGCTTCTTGCCAGGCCAAGAGAAAAGTACCCTTTTATTTGAAACACCTTGTGGAAGTTGTTGGGTTCGCTGCCTTCAGAACATCCCACACATCTTATAAGATGATCTGAATAAAGGTTAGAAAAAGTGACATTTCCCTCCAGCAGCACAGCAATGTCTCCCCTGTGAAATGTTAAAATAAAACAATACATTTGGGGGGACAGGTTCCTCAGTACTTCAGGCCCTTAGAAGTGGGCGAAGCAGCCTGGCCCTAGCTGCACTACTGGGGACAAGAGATTATATTAGCCCAAGTCATTTGACATTTCAAAATACTCATTTTTCAAAAACATTTTGTCCTGCAGTACGGGAGATGGCTGTTCATCAAACAAAAGTTCAGAGCTGCCATGGATACATGTAAGTAGTTCCACACTTTTTTTTAATGTATGCTGATTAATTTATGGATTAAATCAAAGAAATGTTGCAGCCCTGTAAATTATAAATAACATACCAAACAACAAAAATCACCAGTCTGTAGACCCTGGAATGGTAAGGGCAGCAAATGTTAAAAGTCATCTCTCTGCAAATTTCTGTAAGATGGAGAGGCGGTGTATCTAATCGAGTCAGCCCGGCCAACAGCCAGAGATTGGCATGAAATAATATCCTTCTAAACTATAATAGCCAACTGTTTTTAATTTGACACACATCCCTGCTGAAACAAAATTCCAGAGCATGTAATAGCTGTCTAACTGCTTTTTTAGACCTGCAATTCCATACGTTACATTTTTCTTTCTCTCCTTCTTTGATCTTAAATCCTTCCTGCTAAAAAAACAAACAAAAGAAAAAAAACAACCCCTCTTTTGTAGGGGATTTTAATGGTTTTGAAAAACGTACTTCGCTTCCAAGAAACTTCCAACCACAACAGTTACTATAATTAGGAAAAGGACAAATCAAGTGTGAAATTAATTACAGACTTGTTTTGAATTGACTTGTATTGGGAGCAGTATCTCAGAGGTAAGGAACCCTTTTCAACTAAGGGACCATGTTTCTAAATGGAGAACCATGGTGGGTGTGGCCAGACACACCCTATCTCCTATCCAGGTAAGTAAGAGGCGTTATCATAGTTTGAGGACACATTTCAGACAGGTGAAATGAAAACAGGGTGTGGCCTGGAGGGCACAACCTGGGTAGAGTCCCAACGGCTTGATAAGAGGTCAAATGTTCCTTCCCCCTATTGCAGGCACATCCAACTCCCAAGAGACTGTGATCTACTCACATTATAAAAATACTGGCTGTGATCTACCCATTGTTATTGACAGGCAAAGTTGTTGAGCTTTTATTAGGGGTGGCAAAGTTTTTTTGGGGGGAGGGGGGAATCACTGAGCATCACACAATCTACCACAATTTACAACAGATGTCCAGTGATCTACCAGTAGATCGTGATCTACCTGTTGGACATGCGTGCCCTATTGTATCCCCTTCATTGACTCCCAGTACGTTTCCAAGGACGATTCAAAGTCTTGGTGCTGACCTTTAAAGCCCTAAACGGCCTCGGCCCAGTATACCTGAAGGAGCATCTCCACCTCCATTGTTCAGCAAGGACCCTGAGGTCCAGCGCCGAGGGCCTTCTGGCGGTTTCCTCATTGCGAGAATTGAGGTTACAGGGAAACAGGCAGAGGGCCTTCTTAGTAGTGGTGCCCGCCCTGTGGAATGCCCTCCCTTCAGATGTCAAAAAAATAAACAACTATCTGACTTTTAGAAGATATCTGAAGGCAGCCCTGTTTAGGGAGGTTTTTAATGTTTGATGTCTTATCATGCTTTTAATATTCTATTGAGAGCCACCCAGAGTGGCAAATAACCCAGCTTCACTAGAACTACCCATGCTCAAATGTATGCTCCATCTTTAGTTATTATTGAATTATACCTCTTCAGACAGAGGCTTCCCCAGATTCTGGAACCTGGCATGATCAAGGTTCCAAGAACTGTGGAAGAATTCATAACCACACAAAGATGCCACTGCCTCAGACAGCCGTGGTGGCACAGGGACTGGGGTGGAGAATCCAAAGTGTAGAAGGATCATGGTTCAGAAGTCAAGTACCTGCTTGGCATGCAGAAGGTGCCTGGCTAGGGATATCACCTGTCTGAAAATCCATAGAGCCACTGTTAGTCAATGTAAAGGTAAAGGAACCCTGGACAGCTAAGTCCAGTCAAAGGTGACTATGGGGTTGTGGCGATCATCTCGCTTTCAGGCCGAGGGAGCCGGCGTTTGTCCACAGACAGCTTTCTGGGTCACATGGCCAGCATAACTAAACCGCTTCTGGTGTAATCTCTGACATGCTTTAATTAACTTCTGCAATGTTACATGCTACAAAGATTCTGATGAATTTATGAGAAGTTAAAGGATATAGAGGGACACGGGTGGCACTGTGGGTTAAAGCCTCAGCGCCTAGGACTTGCCGATCGAAAGGTCGGTGGTTCGAATCCCCGTGGCGGGGTGCGCTCCTGTCGCTCGGTCCCAGCGCCTGCCAACCTAGCAGTTCGAAAGCACCCCCGGGTGCAAGTAGATAAATAGGGACCGCTTACTAGCGGGAAGGTAAACGGCGTTTCCGTGTGCGGCTCTGGCTTGCCAGAGCAGCGATGTCACGCTGGCCACGTGACCCGGAAGTGTCTGCGGACAGCGCTGGACCCCGGCCTATAGAGTGAGATGGGCGCACAACCCTAGAGTCTGTCAAGACTGGCCCGTACGGGCAGGGGTACCTTTACCTTTACTTAAAGGATATAGAAATATGCAGTCCACAAGGAAACGTAGGACCCATACTGAGGATGACGGAAGTCTTAACACATGGAGGAAAACATTTTATAAGTTACATTTTCTTTGTATTTGATGCAATCTGTTGTTTCTTTTGTTCTGTTTGTGGTGAAGGGACTTAATATGTAAAATAATAAAGATTAAAATGCATAATAATAATAATAATAATAATAATAATAATAATAATAAGCCTGTAAGGCCAAGTTTAGGGACACGGGTGGCACTGTGGGTTAAACCACAGAGCCTAGGACTTGCCGATCAGAAGGTCGGAGGTTCAAATCCCCGCGACAGGGTGAGCTCCTGTTGCTCGGTCCCTGCTCCTGCTAACCTAGCAGTTTGAAAGCACGTCAAAGTGCAAGTAGATAAATAGGTACTGCTCTGGCGGGAAGGTAAATGGCATTTCCGTGTGCTGCTCTGGTTCGCCAGAAGCGTCTTAGTCATGCTGGCCACATGACCCGGTAGCTGTACGCCGGCTCCCTCGGCCAATAAAGCGAGATGAGCGCCGCAACCCCAGAGTCGGCCACAACTGGACCTAATGGTCAGGGGTCCTCTTTACCTCTTTACTCTTAGGGCAAGTTTGCTAAGAATCTGACCCATGGAGCCAGAAAGATTATTTATCCTTGCTTCAGCTGAACCACCAGAAGTCCCTGCTGCTGCTGTTCTCTGTATGTGTGTGTTTTGACAAGGAGGGAACCATGACAGGCTGCAAATTGGGCAGGTTGAGGACCCTGTGAGGTTGCTCCTTTCCTTTCTGACAAGGGATGCAGGTCAGGAATTTGCCATCTAAACCATAGCATGGCAAGCTGCCATCCTCAGCCAATGCTATCCCTCCTCCTGATTAGTTTAAATTCCTTGAAAATATGTTTGCAACCAAATCGCTGGCACAATTTTAACAGTAGCTGCACGAACGACAACCCGTCTAATATAGAAATGAAGACGATCAGCATCTATCTCGATAAAGCAGAAAACATAAGCGGAATGCATAGATCTTCACTTGTGGCTTCTCGGGGGATATCTTAACTGCTGGGCACTGCCAAAGTGGGTCATTTTTCTTGAGATTTACCTTGCATAAAAAAGACTGGAGTCACTTCCTGCGTTTTCAGCCCATATTACTCAATTTCTACTCACAGCACATAATGTTCGCTTGTCAAGAAAAATCATCACCAAGCAGTTCCAAGTATGTTTATAAGATTCTTTTATGGGCTGCCACTAATGGATGGATGTCATCAAGACAAACCATTTTGGCATAAATTCCCTTCCCCCAAACCCCTCTGTATTTGTGCTGTGCAATGGTTTTTGCGGAGGTTTACATGAGGCGTTTCCATTTTACGAGACATAAAGAAATTTACATATATAGTGGGCTTTTCTCTCTCTTCACCCCGCCCTCCAAAAGTGCCACATCATTAAGGGAAATTGCAACAGTCTATGCCCATTAGTTTAAAATGGTGTGTTTGTCCTTAACAAAAGCTGGTTCTGCACAATATTGCATTATATTGAGGTTTATGGGCTGATTATTTCAGAGATAGAAGGGATTTTTCTTGTTGTTTTGGTAAACTCTTGATTTTCTTTTTTCTTTTTCTCATGCTTTTTCTCTGACCTTAATGGGCAAGTGAGTATTGCTTTGGAACAAAACCATACACATTTTTAAAATATATTTTAGGGGCATGCAACATGCTGATTTGACCTAATACATATATGATTTTGAGCCCTGCCATTATATTATTTGAGCATCCAATGCCCTGAATTTTAAAAGCTGACCTCACTCCGACTTTGAAATTTGACCTCCTGCCTTCTGGTGTTTCATCTTCACTGTAGGGATCCTAAAGGACATTAGTACTGAAGGCATACTTTCTGACAGGTAAACTTGCTCTGTATGCCTGAAATAAGCCTCATATAATCGCTTCTCGGCCTTTTGGCTAAGATCAAGTGTAGTATCTGTTCTTACCAGTTTAATATATGATATGTCCTATATTTGAGGACTATATATTAAATGGATTTTTGGAATTGGGTAATTAGAGAGCCAGTGTGGTGTAGTGGTTAAGAGCGGTAGATTCATAATCTGGGGAACCGGGTTCGTGCCTCCGCTCCTCCACATGCAGCTGCTGGGTGACCTTGGGCTAGTCACGCTTCTCCGAAGTCTCTTAGCCCCACTCACCTCACAGAGTGTTTGTTGTGGGGGAGGAAGGGAAAGGAGAATGTTAGCCGCTTTGAGACTCCTTCAGGTAGTGATAAAGCGGGATATCAAATCCAAACTCTTCTTCTTCTTCTTCAAACTGCTAAATCAGAGGAGCTCTTTCCACAGTTCGTATGCGTGGCAAATCAGTGACAATAAACATTGCTAATCCCAGTGCTTTTTCCCCTTAAAAAAATGTTTAGGGGTACTCCCATTTTGACTCAAGAAAATCACCATTTTATAGTTCAAATCGGGAAAAATAAATACAGCAAATGGACAAAAGTACAAAGATTCACAAAATGTTTAGGGGTATGTGTGTCCCCCAGAAAAAAAGCACTGGCTAAACCTGAGCTGAAGACAGACTCTTGCTCAACCTGAATATTCCCAACCCATACCTCACTCCTAAGAGACAACACCATTCCTTCTTAAAGCTGATTTGCATTGTAAGAAAACTTCTGTTGCTTGAAAACCTTGAAGCCAGTAACCTATTGCAAAAGAGGTTGCATCTGTTATAAAAAAGAAAAAAATTTAATTCATTATAGTCACAGCTGACAATTCATGTGATGAGAGGTGCAGTAAGTCCCTGTTTGAAAACTGTGGCACTGTATAAAGCCTAAGTTTGTGCAATATTCTTTCCTTTCCCTCTGGTCTTTTCTTGTTTCAGACCATTCCATCTTCCATTTCTCCCTTCCCTTGAAATACTGCTTTGGGGATGGGTTTTTTTTGGGGGGGGCATGGGGATGTGTGTGTGTGTGTGTGTGTGTGTGTGTGTGTGTGTTAGAATCCTAGAATCCTAGAATTGTTGAGTTGGAAGGGACCCTGAGTGTTAGGAGTCCAGGTTCCTGGCTTGTTAACACAGTAAGCGTACATAATTAAAAAGGAGAATTTATTGCAAAAAAATCAAGTAATTATCTCCGGACGCCTCTAGCAAGCCTCCGGCCCCCATCACTCAGTTGACCCTTCTGAGGAGTTCTTCCTGTGTCGACAGAAGAAATTGAACCTTCAACCTTTATGTTTCTTATTTTGCTTCCTGCCTAGCAGCCTTCCTATACCATTACGCCTCAGACTTATTTGGTCAGCTGCACCCCTTTCTGTCTCTGTAGCTTTCTGTGCCTGTTTGGGCTTCTGAGGAGCTTTGGCTGGGTTCCAGCCTTGTTATATACAGTGGTACCTCGGGTTACCACTGGGGTGGCGCTGTGGGTAAAACCTCAGCGCCTAGGACTTGCCGATCGCATGGTCGGCAGTTCAAATCCCCGTGGCAGGGTGAGCTCCTGTCGTTCGGTCCCAGCTCCTGCCCACCTAGCAATTCGAAAGCACAATTAAGTGCAAGTAGATAAATAGGTACCGCTTTACAGAGGGAAGGTAAACGGCGTTTCTGTGTGCTGCTCTGGTGCTGGTTCGCCGGAGCAGCTTCGTCACGCTGGCCACGTGACCCGGAAGTGTCTGCGGACAGCGCTGGCTCCCAGCCTCTAGAGTGAGATGAGCGCACAACCCTAGAGTCTATCAAGACTGGCCCGTATGGGCAGGGGTACCTTTACCTTTACCTCGGGTTAAGAACTTAATTCGTTCTGGAGGTCTGTTCTTAACCTGAAACACCACTTTAGCTAATTAGGCCTCCTGCTGCCACCGCCGGAGCACAATTTCTGTTCTCATCCTGAAGCAAAGTTCTTAACCCGGGGTAATATTTCTGGGTTAGCGGAGTCTGTAACCTGAAGCGTATGTAACCCGAGGTACCACTGTATTGGGTTTAACACATTTTATGTTACAAGGCGCGTTCTAACCAATTGTAGAAGAGTTGGTAGACGAACGTTCTAATGGCAAGTAAGCACATGCCCTTTCAACTGTCAACTGTCAACGGTCAGTTCCTGCTTGGGATTATTATTGTGTTGTCTAGTCAGTTTGGTTCTTGTGTTCCTATGAGTGAGCTGTTGTCACTGACAAATGTTGAATAAACTTAGTTGAGGAACTTATACTGCCTTGGGCTTCTGACTTTTTCCGAACATTTAACAAGCCTGCTCTCCATTCCTCCCTTATCAGCCGGCCATCCAAGGTCAGGGGGAGTCGACACTGGCAGCTGTGGGCTCTCCTGTGCCAGCATGAAAGCCCAGCCTCCCTGTTCCTGACTACATTCTGCAGCTGGCTGCGAGATCACACTTGGAGCTGGTGTGCTCATGGCACTATCATCTAGTCCAACCCCCTGCAATGCAGGAATACGCAGTTTTCCCATATAGGGATCAAACCTGTAACCTTGGTATTATCAGCACCACACTCTAACCAACTGAGCTATGTGTTGCTAGTTTTCTATTTCTCTCTTTGGTATCTTTATTCTGGGTCTTGTAATTTATGCAGAAATTGCTCTGTTTGGTTGTGTACTTTTAAATGTTTCATTTTTTATTTACAACTACTTTTGTTATATTGTAGTTATCCCCCCCCCACCCAATTGCATGCTGTCTTGAGCATGGTTTGAACTGTGGAAAGGTGGGCTACAAATACAATTATGTATGCATCTGTGTATGTATGCTTTCTCAGGTCCCTGACTGGTCTGTTCCTCCTTAGTTCAGTCCTTCTGCCTCTCCGAACTCTTTCTAGAACTCGGATGGGGAACCAGTGGTTCTTGAGATGTTGTTGGCCCCCCCCACAGCTTTCATCAGCCCCCCACAGCTTGGCCCATAGCTGTCAACTTTTCCCTTTTCTTGCGAGGAATCCTATTCAGAATAAGGGAATTTCCCTTTAAAAAAGGGAAACGTTGACAGCTATGGCTTGGTCAATGATCTGGGATGAGGGCCACAGGCAATGGCAAGCAAAGGGGAATGGCTCAGTTAAATGAATGGTTGTTAGAGCTAGGTTCCCATGCAATCTGTGACAAACAGGCACCTGAGACAGAAGCAATTCCACAGTATAGGTTCTGTATGTGCCAAAGGGTGACAATGGAATCACAGAATGGCAAAGCTGGAAGGGGCCACAAGTGCCATCTAGTCCAACCCCTCGAACCCATGACCCTGAGATTAAGGGGTCTCATGCTGTACCAGCTGAGCTATCTGTATGATTCTGATTGATATTCCAGCTTGATTGTAATACACTGGTACCTCGGGACGCGAAACAGGATCTGTTCCAGAGCCCCATTCGCATCCCGAACAGAACGGAAGATGCGACAGAGCATCTGCACGTACGCGGGTTGCATTTTGCCACTTCCGTATATGCGCGTGACAGCATTTGACCATCTGCGCATGCATGAGCGGCGAAACCTGGAAGTAACGTGCTCCGTTACTTCCAGGTCGCAGTGGAGCACAACCCGAAAGCACTCAACCTGAAGCACATTTATCCTGAGGTATGGCTGTACCATATTGGCCTGAATGTAAGCCTCACTTTTCTCCTCAAATTTCAACCATGAAAAGTTAAACTGCGGCTTATATTTGTGACTTTATTTATTTATTTATTTTAACAGTATTTTTATTGGTTTTTCCAGATACAAGTTATAGAAAAAGAAAAAGAAAAAAGAAGATAACAGAAAAAAAAGAAACCATCTTTCCAAGATATTTTTCTCATAACCAACTGGACTTCCCCACATCTCCCTCGCCCTGCATTCTTTACAATAAAGATATCAGCAAATTATTACCTTGTTTCATGCATTCCTTTGTACTTTCCAATAGGTATACTTTATGTTTAAGAAACTTATTATCTAATTACATTACCTTAAAATAAAAATGATGTTACTTTAAACATTGGTCCTTTCATAATTATAAACTTGATTTCCATATCACCGAATCTTGTTGCTGAAGCTAAATTTTCTGAGTCATGCAAACTCTTAACATTCATATAACTTAAAATATTTTTGTAGATAGTCTTTAAATTTTTTCCAATCCTCTTCAATTGTTTCTTCTCCCAAATCTCGGATTCTGCCAGTCATTTCGGCCAATTCCATGTAGTCCATCAATTGCGTCTGCCACTCTTTCAGTGTGGGCAAATCTTGTGTCTTCCAATATTTTGCAATTAGTATTCTTGCTGCTGTTGTTGCATACATATAAAAAGTTCTGTCGTTCTTTAACACCTTCTGGCCGTCGATGCCCAGGAGAAAGGCCTCTGGTTTCTTAGGAAAGGTGTATTTAAGCACCTTTTTTAGCTCGTTATGAATCATTTCCCAGAAGACCTTCACTTTTGGGCAGGTCCACCAGAGGTGAAAGAATGTCCCTTCAGCCTCCTTACATTTCCAACATTTATTATCAGACAAATGATATATCTTAGCAAGTTTGACTGGGGTCATGTACCACCTGTATATCATTTTCATAATATTCTCCTTCAAGGCATTACATGCCGTAAATTTCATACCAGTGGTCCATAACCTTTCCCAGTCTTCAAACATAATGTTGTACCCAATGTCCTGAGCCCATTTTATCATTGCTGATTTGACTGTCTCATCCTGAGTGTTCCATTTAAGCAGCAAGTTATACATTCTCGAAAGTACTTTAGTCTTTGGTTCTAACAATTCCGTCTCTAATTTCGATTTTTCCACCTGGAAGCCTACTTTTTTATCCAACTTAAAAACCTCTTGTATTTGAGCATAATGGAACCAGTTTTGCACCTTATTTTTTAATTTTTCATAGCTCTGCAACCTCCAATTTTCTCCAACTTTTTCTAAAATTTCCTCATATTTCGGCCAGCCGACCTCCATATTAGGTTTTTTCCAGGCCTTGGTATATTTGTGACTTTACGGTATGCAGCCAGAAGCGCAGGGCAAACAGTGCCAGGAGTGCAGCAAAGCAGCGCTGGCCACATGTGTAGTCCCCCATCCTCTTCCGCAAGGCTGGGAAGGGAGAAAGCGAGGAAGGGGAAAGGTACCCCACCCCAGTATGCAGCCAGGAGCTGTAAGGAATGGAGTGCTTGTACTCATGTATTTTTTAAATAAAAAAATCTCTCCCCCCAC